AGCCAGTGTTAAGAGCAGTGTCTGAAATAAGAGTCGCAGCCTGGTAGTGAAAGCTCTCGAATTCAGTACTAGCTTCAAATCTATCCTCTGGATGCTTATTATTATATCTAGCGTTAGAAGCCTTAATACAGGCTTTGATGCTCTTGAAAGAGAGTGCATGAAGTCAAGTCACGTCCACATCCTTTGGACTTAGATTCTGAAAGAGGTAGTCCACCCAAGCAGTGTGCATAATGCCTCCTCCGTGTAGCCCGGCGACCTGAGCACAAATATGGAAGTGGCACATCAACTCCCAGAATGTTGCATAAATCTCTGGATATGCCGCTCTTAAGATAGATAGCTCTTCCGTGATAGGGATGAACTCCTCATAGGACATCTTTCCGAATGGTAGCCTTGATACTGCTTGTATTTCATAGAGAACGAAACCCAGTTCTTCGATGAGTATGAAGAATGTGCAGTTATCTGGATTGTATCGCTCCAGCATAGCAAAAAATTAGGATAGCTTTGAACAATCCTACATCGGGTGGCCAACACCGGGATTGTAAGGTCGGATTGGGCAAGTGGCTCCTTAAGGTGTTCAAGGAAAAAGTCCACCATGCGAGTCCACCAACCACCCTCTCCAATATATACACAACCAGGAGACCAGAAGGCTTGCGCAGGGAATTCTCCCTGAGCAAAATTGAATCGACAAATGAAAACGTTCACCAGAAGGGGTATCTCTTGAGTAAGATCTTTTTTCTCCAATCTACCAGTTCTCCAGCCCTTGAGTTGCCCATCAATCTGTATGCGTGCTCGTCGACTAGATCTAAGCGATATATTCTCCCTCTCCTTGATGAGGTCAAAAGCCAAACCCCTACGATAGCTGACATTCAGAAAATAAGAGAGCGGATACATCCTCTTCATGCTCAGGAGAAAGAAGAAATGGTTGTTAATTCTGCGCAGCAGCCTAGAGTCTTCCACATGTATAAGTCTGTCATCCACCGCTATGCGATCCCCAAACAAAAATGATAGCTTTATAAATTGCCCGTCACCTACCGACGTCTCCATGTCAAGGTTGATGATCAAAATCTTAAGGATGGAACATCTGGCTTCCATGATCTGATGCGTCCACTCTAAAACGGGGAAATTACATAGGGAATCCTTTCACGGAAACCAAAAGTATCGTCATCATCTAGATGACCAGTGTACCCAAAATGATGATCATGAGAGAGTGGTACATTGGGGGAAAACACTACAAAACAAAAAGCAGAAGTGAGTAGCTGAAACAAGTTACTGATATAAGTCCAAAAGACTAATCTCAAACAAAGAGGTCAAAAGACCCGTGTTTTCGATCTCAAACGTAGAGGTTAAGACCTGTGTTTTCAATCTCAAACGCAAAGGTCAAGACCCACGTTTGCATTTTCAAATGCAAGACCCATGTTCAGATTTCAAAATGCAAGAGTCAACACTGCGTTTCATAATTAACACAGAGTCCTAACTCTGTGTTCCAATTAAAAAAACAAGTCGTATTCCTCATTGTCAAGAAGCCATTTATGGTTTCGAAAACTTGTCAAAATAAGTTACTACAACCATCACTTACCATAACATGGAGGTCCACATGGTGGCAGTGGTGATGGCAGTGTGCCCGTGAAAGCAAGAACACCACCAGCATCCTTAACCGACAGCGTTTCCAAAATCATCTCCACGACTTTCTTAGAGCCAGAGCTCATCCTCCTGGGTGCCGTGGATATCGACGGATGGAGAAGATGAAGGTCATCGGAGATTCCTTCAAAAATAACAAGAGCTCTCGTTCGAGAAATCAAGATGAAAACAAGAAAGAGTCAAACGACTCTTGATTTGACCGCTCAGGTCTATTTATAACAGTGGCCAAGCTGTTAATTCGGTACGGGATTCTAGAATAGAATCCCAACCACCTAAACGCATTCTCAGCATTAATAGATAAGACAGATAGCCTTCTTAAACACAATGCCCATGGTTACGTTTCAATTTCTTAAACGTCAGGCCCAACCATGCATTTTTCAACTCTAAACATAGAGTTAGACCCGTGTTTCAAACTTTCAACGCATGTGTCAACCCTGCATTTCAATTAATTGAATGTAAAACTCACCTTTGCATTTCAAATCTCAAACGATAGGTTTAACCCACATTTCCAACAT